TGCGTCCAAAGTATGGACATCGTCTCTTATTTCACGGTTGTGGTCCTGAAGGTTGGCATTATTTTGTCGCAGATTCTCGATTTCCTTGATGAGGTCGTCTTTATGCGTTTTGGTATGAGGCTCGTAGACGCATCTCAGTTTGCGTGCCGCACATCTACCGCAAACATTTGGTCTGGTCCCGTCACACTAGAGAAGCACAAGCAAGCCCGCAAATTAGCTTTCACTGAAATGAGGACGTATACATGATGTGCATGCTCTGTGGCGAAGGCATCATCGGGTGGCCATACCTTCTGCCTGGCCGTCCTGCAAGGAGTACAGGCCATAGTGGACACGCTACCGGCAGTGCGCCGTTTGCGTTGAGGTACATCTCCACCACTGCCAGAGCCACCACCACCACCTCCAGCTGCTCCGCTGGTGCCCCCACTGGTAGCAGGAGTAGCTCCGCCGGTGCTCGAATCGTTGATGACTTTTGCAGAAGAGGAAGAAGATGATTCTGCTTGCTGATTCGAGGGAGCCAAAGATCGAAACGCAGACATGTTGTGTGCAGTGATCAAACCGTTGGAGACGTATACTTGTTATGTCGTTTATCTGTATTGTGGCGAATGGGAATCGTGCTGGAGTGTCAAGGCTGAAGAGGAAGCGGTTTGGTTCCACTGAAGAGCACAAAATTCGAGGCATGCAAGATTGTATCATGATCGATTTCGACACGGCCGACCGTTTAATCCTTGAGCTGAAATTTGAGACCCCATAAGGTACAGTCTTGAGCCTTGAGATGGCGGGAGAAGAGCTCGTGCTAAAATATTTTCGGTTTAACGTGGGAAGGCAAACGGAAAAGAGCCCCACGTCGAATTTATCGAATACGATTATTAAAATCCCCATCGGCCCTACCACCACTACTACTACTACTACCACTACTGCTACTACTGCTACTACTGTGCCTGATTGCGTTGTTTTCGTGGCAATAAGTAATACATCTCTCTAGCCTCTACCAAACTACCATATACTTAGGTCATTCCTACCTACCGTTCAAGAAGCCTGCCTCCGATCGTTTTTACAATGTCATCATTATGGTACCTGGAAGTTCGCAGGTGTCATACGAGTACGCGTGCGAAGCCAATGACGTAGCTCCAGAGTTCATCGGTTGCCACATATACACTTGTCCCTTGCATGTATTCCATTACTATGTAGGTAGGTAGAGCAGCTACCACGCGATCACGATCTCTCCACTTCTGGACCTTCAATCTCATCGCACAAGACAACCGATACTCTGCATTTTCCACGATATACACAGAAGACACCTATGACCCTCTGCTACGCCATTTTGGGGTTCGATGCACCGACAAAAGTCTTCTCCGCTGAGCATCGGGTAACCTTCTATTAGGGTCCAGACTGGCCCTGACCCAGGAATCAGCTGCGCCAATCCCCAGACCCTGCGTCTCTAGCTAGAGAAGCCGAATAACTGCATTTTCCGAGGTTGGATGGAGGCATGCAGAAAGCCGCCCTACCGCTATGCCACATGTCGAGCTGGCTTCTCTCCGTGTGCGAAAGGGACAATTTGGCCCATGCTCTAGCAATGGTGTACTAAGGTACAGACCCCAGAGAAACGCTCAAATGCCAGTGCATTTCACGAGTCATTGCGAATCGGACTCACTGTCTCAACGCCCAGAATCCGACCCTCCACGACTCTCATGCATCGGAAATGCTTGTTTGTTCTTTAGTGCTACCTTTGTATCGAGGCGGAACGGCTGTCCACTTCGTTCGATGCTGGGAAAAAAGGACAGTCGCAAATCGATGCCTTCAGCAACAAACCTTGGTGTTATAATGTCACCTGCGGACTGGTTTGCTTCGCTGTAATCTTAGGAAACTTCTTCTCCATATATCTTATCATCATGCATCCCTGCCCGACTCTTCCCGACACCTCCAATATTCCACTGTCGTAATCTTGCTTGAAGATGTTTGGCTCGTCCCCACAATACTGGATTCATTCTCAAAGGCCGTGGCGGGAGTGAGGACTGGCACTTGAAAGTGAGAAACCATTTGTGGCGACAAACATGCCGATGAGTGGGTGGGGGGTTGATATGCAGGATGCAGAATATGGAGATGTGCCGCGGAGTAACATCTGCCATGCTTGTAGAATCGAATTTTACAACATCTCGATGACCTTCCGGATCCCGTCTCGGAATCTGGCATCCGGTTGTTTTTGCGATTTATGAATTACGATTACGCATGCTGGATAGCTGCACAAATATCTCCAGCGGCGCCCTGTGGAAATAGTGACACGAGACATAGATATACAAACACAAAATGGTCAAGTAACGATCGTAGCCGAGAAATCCTGAAGTCCCGACTCCTCACCTCCCTTCCTCCTCCCCCAGCCAACACTCACACGACAACAACGATGTCGAACCCACCTCGAATCCACACCTACCACTGCCTCTGCTCCACCCTCCTCCTCGCAACACCCTACCCACTCCCCACGCTGCCCCGCCGCGCCCCTCCCTCCCTCGACCGCGCCCACATCCTCCCTCTGCCTCCGCTGTCACGACCCCAGACCGAGACCGGCAGTGCGGATATGGGCTCCCTCCACATCGACGGCCGCGCGGGGGCAGGAACGGTAGAGGGGGGGCCGCTGCCGAGTCTGCTGACGCCCAGTCTCCGGCCGGGGCGGAAGGTGCTGGTTGTGAGGCGGGAGGATGGGTTTGAGAAGAGGAGGTTGTATAGGTGTGGGAGATGCGGGGTCGGTGTGGGGTATGAGATTGTGAGGGAGGGAGGTGGGGAGGGGGGTGGGAAGGAGGGGGGGAGGGTGATTTATTTGATGGAGGGGGGGTTGGTGGAGACGGGGGAGATGGGGAGGGGGGATGGGGGATGAGTGATTGGGTCAAGAGAGTCTGAGAAGGTAAAGTGGTTGAGGAACGGGGCTTGGTAGATATTGCTGAGCACCTGGGTCATGGAGGCGGACTACGATTAAGCGCACAAGACGTGTGTGACAGGGTTCCTATCTTCTCGATCCTATCTTCAGCCCTCGAAACAAAGTACAGAAACGTCCATCCCCGGCCATCCCGGGCCTCGATCTATGCACCGAATGGAAAAACGCCTAGAGTATGTGGATGGTCGATGGTAGGAAACAACAGAGAAGTGATCGAGAGAGTTGAATCAATTGGCCAGGATGGTCCGGACGAGGTCTAGGAGGCCACTCGTCAGCTAGATGCTCTCAGAAGAATGCGCAGACCAGAGGTACCAGTGTAGTTGATTTCCCCACTACTCGTGTCCACCGCCTTCAATAGCTCATCCACCTCATCGTCACTCATCTTCTCTCCCAGGTTCGTCAAGACTGCGAGCCTCCGTCAGCACTCCAACAAGTTCCATAGCCACACACGCAACAAGACATACTGTATCTAAGCTGGCCCACGCCAATGAAGCCGGTCATGTCTTTGTCAAACACCTGAAAGCCCCGGCAATACTCTTCTGGCTCGCCCGGGTCTCGGAATCCACCTGGTCGGTTCAGGACTTTTTGGAAAGAGTCGAAGTCGACTATGATTGCGCAAATACAACACATTAGCCACATACCCCTCGGCTCCAAAGATTGTGTCTTTGCTGCAACTTACAGTCACCGCCAACACCCTTCTCCAAGTCATGTATTTCCGCCAATGTTGGGTTCTGTCCGCATGCTCGGAGGAGGTCACCTAACGATTCAAGGGCGACGCGGCCATTGCCGCGCTTGTCGAAGAGGGCGAATGCTTCTTTGTAGTTTGTGGATGCCTGTAGATGTTGTCAGTAGATGATAGCAGGAGAAAGCATGATGGGCAGCCTGTGCTTACCATCGCTGCAGTCGCGAGGAGTCGAAGTCTTGTTTCTTGTGAGCAGACAGATAGAAGATTCGTGACAAGCTAGCTCTTAGTATTTTGAAGCTAATTGTATGCAGTGCAAGTAGAATGGATGATCGCAGATGCGGTTTAAAGGTTTGTTTACATTTGATCTTGGTGTGGGGTTTCCTTGGCGGCTGACTAAGCGCCGCCAAAAGATATCCGGTCCTTCACGACGACCATCTGTCCGTACCGTGTAACCTACATCTCGTGAAATCTTTTAGTAGGCAAATTTAATCTCAGACATAATGTTGCTTCTAACATCTGTGATTCCGGCGTGGTGATCTCGCTTTAATACTCTCTACAGGATGCGATTTCATGGCATTCACCCATTGATCATGCCCCCGTGTTTATGTAGTCCCAATGCACGGGCCCCAATCATGTGGGTACAATCCCAAAAAACAAATCTATTCGTATCGAAGACTCTCCGCCGATGAGCTCAATTGGCGTTCTTGAAGCATTCTCAAGTCGCACGTCTCTGATTTATTTCCAACGTTTCCGGAGCGCAGTAACTATGTTGCTTGCCTGCTTCCCCAGGCAATAATGATGCGCAATTCCTCAGCTGCCCATTATTGATATCAACCTGATCCACAATGGCCGCTGAGAGAAACGCGATCTATGTTGACCGAGAAGTACCGGAGATTCTGACAATTGCTACTCGTGTTTCATGCGGGGAAAATTGCTATTCAAGGCTAATAGTCTATATCGAAAGGTCATCATCCGAAACTACCTCTTACTTCTCCCGAGACCTGTGCTGCGAGTCTGCGTTTTGCCTTTGAAAAGCAACGCTGACTCCGAAATGTGCGCAGATGGCATTAACTCTATTGTTTGAAGGACCATCATGCCTAACGTCAAGCCGAACCACCGACCTTGAATTGTGCGTACCGAACCATTGTCCCATACGACCAAATACGCAAGGACGCAATTGCGAAGGATCTGATTGACAAGCTCACAATGGAGGTGTGGATGTCGGACAAAAGCTACATCATTTCATACCCAATTTCTCCGGGCAAAGACTTAGATATGGCTCTTTCGCATTACCGTTCGAACTGGTCCAATAACGTCGAACTAGTCGATATTCAAGATTTGAGAAACACATATACGGACTACGACCCTGGAATTTAGCGCATCGTGGACATGATCCCGGAAGCTCAGAGGTGGCCTTTGATGGCCACAGGCCCTTCGAATAGGTGGTCAACACCTTCTCGGAACATTGTCCTGATAGGCGACGCGGCTTACTCCATGCTGATCCATTTGACGCAAGGAACGGCGACTTCAATGGAAGATGGAATATTTCTTGCGAAGACCATTGGTGAAGCGGTGAACGGCAACATGACCATTGCAGAAGCAGTCGAGCTGTACGAACGAGAGCCGATGCCGAAAGCATACGCTAAGTAGCGCGAAATGGCATCTTTCAGACAGACAAGAGCAACGAGCCCGTGACAACGCCTTGTCGCCCGAGCTCACAGGAGAAACAGTACGTGCGATCTCCCAACCTTTATGGTGATACCGCAGCCGTTCTAGAAGTCTATGGGTTCGAAGCCGAGGAGCATGTCCGGATAGCAATAGCCAAATTTCTCCAGCAGCGTGAGCCAGCTGATCCCCAAACAGGGGTCACGAAGCCACTAGAAGATAAGTACATGAACTGGTTTCGGCCAACGCGGGAGAAGGCGCGATTGTAGATAGTCCTATGCAAAACACAATATCTCATTGATCATGCCATCCATTAAAGCGTCATATATCCATATCATCCTCATCATCCTCGCCCCCTCCAATCCCATTCTCCCTCTCCTCGGCCTCCCTCTCGCGCCTGCTCATCTCCTTGCTCGCTCCAATTTTCCTCAACCCATCCACGACACCCCCAATAAAAGCCCTCCCCTCAGCCACCTCCATCCCGCCTACTCCGTTCATCTTGACCTCCCTTCCTCCCTCCAACACCCCCACTCCAGCCCTCATCTTCGCCATTCGAACCTCACGCAGATCCCGCATCAATCTCCTTACATTGTCAGGTTCGGGGATATCATCACTTGCGGCTTCCAGTAGCATCTCGCCTAATTCGAGCCAGTGGTAGGGTAGTGCGTCTGGTGGGGCGTTGGCTGTGGCGCTGGGCAGGAAGGGCGGGGAGGTGGTTGTATGAGGTGGTAAAGGCAGTGGTGGGGAGAAAGACGGTGTTGACTTTTCAAAGTCGAGGATCGAGTGGAGTGATGGAGGGGAGAGCCATGGTGGAGGCAGGACGTTGGCGCGACGTTGGCGTTTAAGGAGAAGGGCGAGCCAGAGGGGAAGTGAAGTGCGGTAGGGAGGGTTGAGGGGTGGGATGGGTCCCTATATGGGGGGAGACGGTTAGCAATTGTCTAAAGAGCTTCATAACATGGATACGTGGTAGTAGATATCTTACAATCCATTTAAGAGACGACAACTGACTGTGGGCTCAACTCACCCCAAGTAGTTCGAGCCCCTCGAGCCGTTGGCGGGGAATAACCGTTACCATCTCCATTTCGCACAGAAATGCGGTCTCAGGAGGTGTCAAGCCTGGCGGCAATGGTAAGGCCATTGTGTGAAGTACCCAAAATCGAGAAAGTCACGAAGGAAATTGAAACGTGAAGACCTGTGAGTTAAGTAATCATAGAGACAATCGCGCTACGCGTGAAGTTTGCTGAATCTGGAAGCCACAACTCGTCTACAAAGAGACAATATCCTTTCTTTCTTCTCCTTCTTTACTTCTTCTCCTGCTTCTTCTTTTTAGTATGTCAGATAAACCTACTTCTCCCAAGTCATGGCGCGTTCTATTGGATCGCTGACCTCCTGGAGCTCTGCCATTGCGCTTGTGTCTCTTACAGCTGCGCTTTGGTCTTGCCTGATCGATGCCATCGTGCCTGACCCATATCTTGTAAGCCTGGCTCTTAAACCCTCAAACAATACTCATGCAACCAGGATGAGGTTTTTCATGTTCGGCAAGCACACGCCTATCTCCGTGGTCAATGGGAAATCTGGGACCCAAAGCTTACGACTCCTCCTGGCCTGTGAGCTCCATTGAGTGCTTGTGTGGCACTCCCGAGGACTAATCTTGTCCAAAAGGTATCTTGCCTCATGGATCTTATGGAAACCACCCCTAGCCTTGGGTCTCCGACATGTCTTTACTGATATCTTGACTGATGCATCGGCCTTGCGCTTTACCAACATCATCGGTAGTGTATTACTTGCGTGGCTAGTACGCTCGCTTCTGCTTCTCAACATCGAAGTACGTGATGGGAATTGTGGAAGGAAGCATGAGTCGAACGTACGATGCAAGCGCTGTCCCAATTGGTCTGGCTGGGAGTTGATTCATACTACCATCAACGTCTATCTGTTTCCACCCTTATTCTTCTTTTATGGACTCTATTACACAGATGTCTTATCAGCACTCTCTGTGCTCTATGCATATCGATGCTATCTTGCAAAACAACAGACCAGGGTCCTTTTTGCGGGCCTCCTGTCTTTACTGTTTCGGCAGACCAACATCTTCTGGGTGTCTTTCTTCCTGGGAGGTCTTGAATTATGCAGGACGATCCCCAAAGGTCGACCCGAGATCGAATTTCCAAGCCAGCCTACTTTCTACGACGTTATTGAGGGAAGCTGGCAACATGCTTCAGCGTATGATCCACTCATCAGCCAGGCGTGCTTTGAAGGTCATAATGGCACGGCGGTGATGCAAAACTCCTACTGACCTTTTTTGTAGACTACATCAAGACCGGCATCTCCTACGCTATTGCTGGGCTGACTAATTTCTCAACTGTCATGTGGTCAATGAGTTCGTACCTCGTCATACTCTGCGCTTTTGCGGAATTTGTATTTTGGAACGGCGGTGTCGTGCTAGGTACGCGAAACCTTCTATCTCTTCTTTTCCGGATCCTCACATCTTTCAGGAGACAAGGAGAACCATGTTGCATCACTCCATCTTACGCAGATGATCTACATCTGGCCGTACTTTGCCTTCTTCTCCTGGCCTCTTCTCTATCCTCAATACCACCTCGCATTAGCACAGCCCATCTTTCCTGTCCGTATCAAAAAAGGGAAAATAAGCGCTACCACAATGGCAGTCATGTTGGTGGTAATCCGCTACAACACCATCGTTCATCCTTTCACGCTTGCCGATAACCGCCATTACATGTTCTACGTCTTCCGCATTCTTCTCCGCCATCCATCGATAAAGTATCTTGCTGTGTTGATTTACATCGACTGCGCTTGGGATACGCTGTCTGCTCTTAGTTGGCTGCCAACCGCAAGATCGGCACCTCAACAAGAAACTAGCCCCAGGAAGAGAAAATTTCCAGAGGAGGAACCATTTCCACCTTCACCCCAGTTAAATCCTAGCCCAATGAAGAGGTCAAAATCTCAGGAGAGCATTTTGCCACCTTCACTGCGGCCAATTCTCAGCTCCAGAATGACAGAAATGCCGAAGTTTGCCATTCCTCCACCGCCTCCAAAGAAGCAAAAGAAGCAAAAGAAGAAAAAGAAGCAAGTCTCGGGTCATCGAGCCAGCTTCACCCTCATCTGGCTTCTCGCAACTGCACTCTCTATCATTACAACGCCCCTCGTCGAACCAAGGTATCTGATTGTGCCGTGGCTGATATGGCGACTTCATATGGCGATTCCGCGCCCCGGAAGACCCTCTGCACCCGCGACAAGGCCAGATACCATGAGAAAGAGGTTCTGCGAGGCACTCAAAGCAGCACTCTACGAGCGGCACGATCACCGTCTTTGGCTCGAGACAGTGTGGTTTCTTGCCATTAACCTGGCCACTGGATACATTTTTCTGTACTGGGGGTTTGAATGGCCGCAGGAACCGGGCAAGGTGCAGAGATTCATGTGGTGAAAACGATGTATGAGTAAGGACAACCGAAGGTGCACCGGCGGAGATTCGAGCAGAGTCTGAGCATAGATCGTGCACTTTTACAGCGTATCATGGTTTATGCTGCTGTGATCAAGGGCTCATACCTTTGTACTGGTAAAGGAATAGAGTACTACATCCCGTATCTAATAGTATGAACACAGCTGATCACTCCAAACGCTTAGACTCAAACGCAGTTTTTAAGTCTAACAATAGTGGTAAGCAATCTACTCTTGCCTAAACCCCGCTCATCCTTCCATCAATAGACGCGAGGCCCCTCCCAACAGATAAATTTTACCCCCATTGGAAAGCGATTTCGAGTAGTAAAAACGAGCGGAAGTCCTCTCGTTCTTGGCACCAGAACACATTGAATGTGTACTATCCTTCTCCTCCTCCTCCTCCCCTTCCTCCGTCTCCTTCACCCAACCAAAAGCGTAGCTTCTAAACGCCGCCGCAAATCAAAATTTGAACACTTGAGAGAATACGTGGAAGATGAGAGACGGGTAAAAGTTCGACGACGTATGTGGCCCCCCCGAACCGACTTGATTTCTCACGTGTGGCACCCAGTCGCCGGTTTCGACGCACAGTGTTGCTGTAGATTGAGGCGTTGCTTTTCCAAAGGGATGGCCATGATCCGTTCCTTGGCCAAAGTGGCATCGGCCGCCTTTTGTGGGACACGCAGTGCTCACGGTTGAGTGGAGAGAAGAGCCCCTCGTGTAGTCTCCCGAGGCGGAGAGTTGTCCACTGGATCGCATGACAGGTGCCGAAATGACGGATCCGGGCAGCGGGATCCTGATCGCTTGTGCTTTTGTTCGATAGGACGGGTAGAGACGTTGGGGATGAGATTGTTAGATATGGCCGGTGCTGATTTTGCTCTTGCAAAGAGAGAAAAGGAGGGCGAACGGAAGACAGGCCGAGGGCCAAAGTGTCGTCCGACTTTAGCGACAGCACAGGCTCCGTGCGTCCTCCTGTCCCGCAAGGTTTTCCGGGGTAACGTTAGTCAAGAAGAGCGGTGAGCGCTCTGCACGAAAACTTGACCGGGTGGTGAACCAGTCGATTCATCTCGAGATTTGCTACTAGAGGCCTCGTCTGACACCGTACTCGTACTCTAGGAGAGACTGCGGTCATCATCCCATGGTCCATTCGGCCAATTGGCGGTTATCATGGCGGTGGTCACTCTGGGGTAAGGACTTGACATGGGTGATTGGTTGAGAGCGGAAGCGAATAAGATGCTGACTCGAGCCCATAGAGCAATGTCGGCGATGGAGTAGATAGTATCGTGGTCGAAGGATATATACTTACCTGTGTTCCGAGGTCAGGAAATATAGTGGCGATGGAGAGGCCTTTTGAGCCGTGGCCTGGATCGTCTGTAACGTTGCAGGTAAGGTAGGGCCCAATCATATGGCTTGATGGGTGTCTTGGTCTTGGCAGCCACAAATTCAATCTCCACGCTAACCTCACCTAGCGCCTTCGCAGTCGGGCTGTCGGAATACCTCCGTCCTCCACGTGCTCGAGCCCACTTGGGTAGTAAAATACATTACGCCTCAAGCCACCCGATTCAAGCGCAGCCTGCTTGAAAGTAAAGTACTTTTAACATTACGGAAATAGGAGTCGGGCTAAAAACTCGTCGGAACCAAAAGAAAAATGAGGTAATACTGTAGCAAGTCGGATGAATTTGTGAACTATGACATCAGTCATTATTGTATTATCACCATTCGTAAAGTAGCATACCAGACATGCTATGTCTCGTCATGCCTGTAAAGTCCACTCGAGAGTTATACCTTATATTTGGTAAGAGTGCCAAGGTCCAAGATTCAAGGCCGGGTTTAACACATCTGCGCCCTAGATCGTAAGATGTCGTCGATCTTTTCACTCCCCGGAAGTTGTAGAGCTGGTGGAGCGTCTCATTGGTCGGTCACATCATGAGCATTACTGAATTATGTCAATGAGTGGAGGGGAAAAGCACAACCCTGGATCACCTACCTGAGTCATTTTCCCTTTTCACCCTTCACATACTGCTAGTCAGAGTTCTCTTAGCGCTCTCCGCTGCGGTATTCGGCCAACCGAGGGCTCGCCACTTTGGACTGGGCATGATAAAGTAATAATCATCACCACGTCTTCTCAGATTTTGTGATTTCTTTTTTTAAGAAAGCAACGTGGTGATCTGCCGGCAGCTAGAGAGAAGGCAAAGGTTTGCTCCAAATGGTCTAAATATCAATAACATGAGTGGTTGGCGCCGAGGAGGCATCTGAAACCCCCGTGCCAACAGCACTGGAAACGTCTGAGAGATTGAAAATCGGAGATTCCAAACAGCCGAGATTGTCCAATTGAGCCTTGACCCTAAAGTAGAGTTGTTGATATGGCGTTGCTTGTTTCATTAGTCGCTTCTCCAGCGTCAGATGTGACGAGCGGGTCCGTGCCATCATGTGGCATGTCAATTTTTCGGGACCATGTATATACGTACCGATTGTGAGCCATGTGCGCGTACCTAGGTATCTATGCAAGAGAAAATGCATCTGCACCTGTGAGACCTCCTGTTGTCGAGCAGAGCGAGTCGGCACACTTCCGCGCTGGTGCAGCTAAAATTAGTCTCCTGCCGAGAGTTCACTATTGCTCTGAATGCAGCGAGTCCCGGGAATAATTTAGTACATGTAATCTGGGCTCGTGTACATACTGCTGGGGCAAATTTCGCCGTTTGCAACTGCCAACAATGCTCAGGGACGTTGCATTGCATATGCGTGCATATACATAAACACGAGGCTGCACATGGGCATTGAAGGTACAAGGTACAAAACACGCGAAACCTGCAGGTAACCCGACACCCTTGCTTGAAACGTGTTCTTGTTCTCAAAGACCAGGGTCTGCGGGGCAGCATGCAGTCTGGGACTGCCAAAATATATGTCTGCACCCGAGCAAGCTCAGCAGGTGAGAAGGTGGCAAAGAAAAGAGCTATCATGGTGTTGTTAATTTACCTTACCTAAGGTAAGTAGGATCACGTAGGATACCATCGCTGTCCGAGGAGCCTTTTGACGGTGGAGCCACGGATGGCTCAAACCATGGGAGATCTTGGCATGCGCGCTAGTAACTTTAGCCTTTCTTCTGGAAGAGAAAATTGGGCAGAGTGAATAATAATATGGTGAAAGAACCCCACGATCCGAACTCCCTTGCAGCTTTACAATGGAATCCGCTTTTCCTTAGTATGTAGTATCTTACATTTATACCCAAATCCAATAGAACGATATCTTCGTAAGACACCCAAGCATCATAGAGTACAAGAATAATCTCATTACAAGATATCAGTGGGGCTTATCATCCACGAGATGACGAATTGTTCTCAGCAGCAGCAGCAGCAGTCTCATTGCCGCTTCAGCTGGGGAGGAGGCAAGGAGGCAGCGAGGCAGTCTAAGCAGAGCAGGCTAAGCAGCAAAGCCCATGCTTACTATGGTGCTATGTTAGCACACAGGGTGATGCTTACAGGGATCTCACATGCTCCTTCTTTCTTTAGCGTTTAGCGTTTAGCGTCATCCTTCTTCCCTGCGCCCTCGTGTCTTTGTCGATCAATGATCTGACACACCCAAACTCTTTTCTTTTGCCGGTCGTAGCGGACCCTTAGCCTTTGGCACTGTTCTTCCTCCGACATCTCCCACCACCGCTTCCCAGGCTCCTCAGGATCAAACTATAACCACTACCACTACCACTACCACTACCACTACCACTACCATTACCACTACCAACATGTCATCACAGCATATCTACCAACCCCAGACTCCATAATAATAATAATTTACTTTTTCCATTCCCTCCGTCCACTGGTTTCTGGCTTGTCAATCTAAGGGGTAACTGCCGAACAGCCCTAGCCTTGAATCGTCTTACAGCGGTCTTTTTTCCCCAAATCATCCCTCCCCTGCTGGACCTGCTCGTTTGCTTCAATAATCGCAGCTTACATGACGGGTCTGTCCTCGCTCCTGCTTGCTCCACTCTATCGTGGAAACACCCTTGCTGCTTTCCAGCCGCTATCCGGACACTATCTTCATCAACGAGAGCCATAATTAACACTGCTCAGAACACATAGATAATCCTTCTCAGCCGTACCCTCCGACCACTCAACGCCATCCTCCCCCATCTTTCACACCAACATCGTCCCGCGATCCTGACAGCAATACCTCCGCCGCCGGCCATCAGGCCAGGCACAACAGACTCTCAATAGCCGCTATCGCCCGTGAGAAAACAACCGCTGCTCTGGCCAACCTCTCCGTCCGTACCAAGACATCGACACAGTCTCTGCACTCATCGTTATCATCGTCTGCGGAACTACCCAAGCAGGCACCAACCGTTGCACCGTCTGCCGACAACAATCCCAGGCAGCAAAAGGGCTATTTCAATATCTCGCCTGGTCGCCCTGACGTTAGCAAGGAGCCTGAATCGGCCATCTCACCTGGCTCAGTCCACAGCCCAGGAGCCGAGGGCTTAGCCCCATCAGCTGGTTTGTCTTCTCTTACCCAAGACCGGCGACGACTCCTAAATAGGACTCCCTCCCCTTCAATCCGTAACATCCCATCCCCATCAACGGAAACCCCTCAACAGGCCGCACAAAACAAGATGCATCAAACGTCTTCGAGGCTTCTCCGGATGACAGATGAAGAACGACCATTCACCAGAGACTTCGAAGATTTGTTCTCGACGCTGATGGTCAGCCTGCCGCTGTCAGCTCATCGTGTGCGTTTCCAAAAGATCGAACATACATTTACTTCGGAAGAAGCCATCAACAATCTTGGCTCTCTCAAATTCTCCCAATCGAACCGGATGCCCGATCCGAAAGATCCGTCACGCATCGTGACCACCACGACCACGACGACGTTCTCGATGGCGAAGGAAATGGCGCGATCGGTTTGTCAGCGCTTTATGGACGCTCGCTTCGTCGAGCACGCAGACATGAGAACCGTGCCTGTCTTTCCCCTCAAGAATGCCGTTTGGCACCTTACACCAAAAGGTATGCATGTACTGACCCGATTCTGCCAGCGCAATGGCATCAACCAAAGACATGTGCTTGATCTTTTGGATGGCGCCCGCAATACCATGCAATTGGTCATCTTGGAAAGAGACGGTACCTCGGATAAGCTATCGCATGATCGCGCGACGATAGAAGTCATCTTCCGACGATTCGCTGGTCAGGATGGTCCTAACATCAAGCTCAGCACATCAGCCTCTGATAATGACTCACTGAGCGATTACTACAATGGAATGATAGGTGTGAAGATGGCAAAAGAAAGAAAGATCTTAGACCGTGTTGTTCCAAATACTTTTACTGGCAAGACAGCTGTCGACTGGCTGATGGATTGCTGTACCACTGTGGATCGCAGAGAAGTGTATGAGATTGCTGAACTTTTCGTATCTCACGGACTCATCTGGGCCGTCGTAGAAGACAAAGTCTATGCTCATCAGAACCCCGGTGCATCAAGATTCCAGCCCACTAAGAATGCCATCTACGGTCTCACAGACAAGGGCCAACGCATTGCAGGATGGCTAGGGAGAGAGGATAGTCCAAGTGGTGATGATAGCAGAGGAGAGTCGTCAAAGAACGCCAGGAACAACGCTAAGAATCAACCAAGAGACTCAAATAACAACCGACTCAACATCATCGTCAATGATCCAGCTCTGCGTCTCCTATTCAGGGAGTTCTTGCGAGACACCCATTGCGAAGAGAACTTGGCATTCTACCTTGAGGTTCGAGAGTTCACAAGGAGCTACGACGCTGCTGAAAGAGCAAAGGCCTTCTCGAAGCTAGACACGATTAGGGAGAATCTGGCGGCTGCATATGGTAGGTCTGCAGCTCCACGTCGAGTGTTCCAGGCTAAATGTCTCCAGGTCTCTACAACGCCTTTTTGGCACCTGGCTCTCCATGTGAGCTCAACATTGACCACAATCTGCGCAACAGCCTAGCAGGACGCATGACGAGGGCTGTTGGTGATGATGACTCACTGCTAAAGAGCTTGCAAGAAGTAGTTGGATTATTCAAGGATGCTCAAACATCCGTTTTCAAATTGATGTCAAGCGTAAGCACCGCAGCCATATTTCGTTCAATTTGATCATCTTTGCTGACGATGTATCCAGGATTCCGTTCCCAAATTTCTCAAAGAACCCAAATATGCCGCTGTGCTGGCCCAGCACAACTTTGATCATGCGGTGGCACAAGCAAACCAACACGGATCGTCACAGATGGTCCTGCCGGAGCGATCAAGAAGTAAAGCTGTTCGAGACCGGGATCATCGGGCGTCGTAATCAAAATGACCTCTGACTTGCATAATTTTTTTGGTGATGTGTGACTCCGGAAATGATGGGAAGCCGAACGTGATTGGAAATCATTTTCACCGCCCTGCCGTGCATGAAATCATGCATGGTGCTCCACTCTTCCGTCTTTGGATCACACCGATGATTGCGTGGCCTGCAAAAATAATTCATCCGGCCGCTACGCTGAATTAGGATATAATGGTTCTTTCTTGGTCTGAGGTGAACAGGCTCGCCTACTCGGTGTGCAAGAGCAATCATGTCTCATGGGCCGGCATCTCAAAATGCCTCGTTACGAATTGTTATGGTTCCTGCATATGGCGTGGATGACTCTCGGAAGTTTCTAGACACAACATGTTGTGATTGCGTGCAGCGGAGATCCTCGGCTGGGCAGCATGCAGCATCTTCTATTTCCGCGTTACGCATCTGGGAGGGCAACTGTATTCTTGACGAACGCCCTTGTTTAGTTTGTTTTCATCGTTAGCGGGTTGATTTGGAAAGAGAGCTTGGCTCTCTGTTTCGAGGGCGCGAGGACGCGAAAGCAGGCATGGCCACACTCAGGGTTACATATTTTGGTAGCTACACATAGAAAGAGCATACAAATAAGTAAACCACCTGAAGTGAAGGCCAGAGTGCGATGATGGCGATTCCTCGAAAATCACGACCCAATTACATTCCGTGCCCAGCTTCATATTGGGACCAATGATAAGGGGCTGTCTAAATACTCGTGCAATAAGTGCCTGCTGTCATTTTGTATTCTGATGGTCCCAGAGACTTGATATTCGCTTAGCGGCATCACGTCTCCACATGTAGCAGGTTATTCACTTTACCCTCTAAGATACTTTTATAACCCCTTCCTTAACATAATACCTAACAGATAAGCATACGTGTGACTGCCTTTCAGGCTCTCTCCGACATAGCCCGTCATGCCAAGCTTCGATCCCTCTCCCCGAGCTGCCAAACGGCAGAAGACTACTTCAGACGACTCAAGTTTACTCTTTACCTCTCGAGTCTTACGGACAGTGAAGCAAGCTGTCTTCCGAAAAGCTTCGGGTCCCAAGATCAACGATGTCTTCAACGAGACAAAGTTGATGGAGAGCCGTGAGGATACCCCAGGGACAGCTGTCAAGAATACCGGTAGACAGAAGTCGAATGGCGAAGACGCACTACAACAACAATCTGGTGGGAAGAAAGCAGTATCGACCCCAGTGATAGGTCATATGCTACTTGAGCATGCGAAGGATGAAATAGATGAGCTGGATGGGGAGGTGGAGGGCACCCCGAGTAGGGGGGGCCGACGAAAGGTCAATGAGAGAAGCCAGGAGCAATCGAAGACCACGGAGCTTTCAGAGACATCTACGAAGAAGAAGAGACTGAAGTATAAAGGCTGGGTAGAGATCGAAGAACCGGATGAGCTGCAGGGAGAAACTGGGCCCGGTGATGCTAGGGACTCGGACAATGCTTTGGGAGCCGACCATCTCGATTCCGGGAAACGCCTGTCTGAAGCTGTCCGGAAGGCCACCAGGGCTATAAAGCGAGCCAAAGAGCTGGAGATAGACATGCGTGACCAACCAGGCACCGGGACTCCAAGTGGCAGGTTACGTCGGAAGTTAGGGCGGCTCTCTGATGGGGACGACAACGCTGCGAAAGCAGCGTCTGTTACTACAACGAGCTTGCGCCGGAACCAGGGTCAGCGAAAGCAGCCCCTGAAAACGGCTACCGTCTTGGAGGATAATAAGGGTGAGGTGGAAGACCCAGGCTTTGGGAAGATGCCTACGAGGAAGGCGTCTGTTGATGACCTCGCTCAAGGGCATCGAACGGATGAGCTTGATCATACGCAACCACTAGATACCCCCTCTAGAAAGTCAAGAAAGAAGCGCAAGGATCCGGCGCCCGCGATGGCAAATGGAGAGTCGTCACTCTCAAGAATATCGCCAGTGTCGGCGTTAGATGGCTCGACTAAGGACGATGGGACCAAAGTCCTGAGTGACGATGCGAAAGCACTCCAGAAATTGCTACAAGATGAACCTGAACTGCTCACCATGCTCCAAACCCGGATACTTGAGAGCCTGACAGGCAAGCGACGTCTACCGTTAGTGAACTTAGAAAACGAATACCGGAAGGTCCATCAATTGGTTGAGCAGACAGTCCTAGCCGGCGAAGGGAACTCAATGCTCATTACCGGATCTCGGGGAAGTGGCAAGACGACTTTAGTCGAGACTGCCATCTCAGAGGTCGCTTCTGATCATCGTGACGAATTCCACGTAGTACGACTAAACGGTTTCATTCACACAGACGATAAGCTCGCTCTTCGCGAAATCTGGCGCCAGCTTGGCCGAGAAATGGAGGTGGAAGACGATGTCTTGGGTGGTAGAAGTAATTACGCAGATACACTGGCTTCGTTACTGGCATTACTTTCTCATCCTGCCCAACAAATGGAAGATGATGATGCTGCTACTGCCAGATCTGTCGTCTTCATCCTTGATGAGTTTGATCTCTTCGCCTCTCACCCACGCCAAACCCTTCTTTACAACCTTTTTGATGTCGCTCAATCACGCAACGCTCCAATTGCCGTTCTGGGCTTGACAACAAAAGTCAACGTCGTTGATAGTCTTGAGAAACGAGTAAAAAGTCGTTTCGGACAACGCTACGTCCACCTCTTACTCCCACGAAGCTTTACCGCCTTTCAAGAGATCTGTATCTCAGCCTTGTACTACCAGCCTTCCGCCCAGCATCGACTCCTGGGCAGCAACGCGGCTCTCCAAAATCTCTCCATGGCCTGGAATGCCTACCTCGCGCACCTCTTTGCTACCCCCCAGGTCGATCAATTTCTGCAGACACTCTATACGTCCAGCAAGTCTGTCGCTGCCTTTCTCTCTGCCTCTCTCCTTCCAATCGCCACCATGTCAGCCGTCAACATACCTACAGCTTCATCCTTCATCTCTCATTCTCTCCAACCTCCTGACAGCAAACTCGTCCTCTTTTCCTCCCTCTCCACGCTTGAGCTCTCTCTTCTCATTGCCGCAGCCCGTCTAGACATCATCCTCGACACCGATGTGTGCACTTTCAGCATGGTGTATGAAGAATATGTCGCTCTAGCCAGCAAATCAAAACTGCAATCTAGCGCTGCAGGGCAGATGGCTGTGGGTGGAGGAGCGAGGGTGTGGAGCAAGGATGTTTCCAAAGGAGCATGGGAGCATTTGTCGAGTTTGGAGCTTGTACTGCCTGCTGTGGGTGCAGGAAGGGGAGGAGGAAGGGGGGAGATGTGGAGGGTTGATGTTGGGTTGGAGGAAATCGGTGTGGGGTTGGAGGGAGTCGATGTGCCTGGGAAGGCAGGGCTAGGCAAGTGGTGTAAAGAGATTTGAATTGTATAGTACTTACCTGCGAGCATCGAACGTCGACTCGTAAATATGCAGCGGTTGAGGCGCCTAAGGCGCCAACCCTTTGGCCTATGGAGACAATAGCTCTCACCACATCATCTGGAAACGCCGCCTATCTCTGTTCGGTGCCTGTGAAAGGCAGGAATGCAGAAGAGAAGTACTCCTATCCTTCCTGAGACAACTCTGCGGGTAGTCCGAAGATTTTTCCAAAGAGAGCGCCGCAATCCTGGGGCCGTCTTCTCATTCCAGGCCACCAAGCCTGCTTCCACCTCTACGCCATCCATACGAGGCCTTCAACATCTCGTGGAGAGCTCCGAACGGAAACCCTGCGTGAGCGCATTTCGCCACCCCTCGCGGCCTCGGTCCCGACTCCGCGGACAGAAAAGGGCACTCATGTCCAACCAACCACCCACTGTCGGTCGTGCTTCCGAATACATCCAAGAGCAGCGGCTGTACAGTGACGCATCCCATGACCTCTCCACCTCTACAGTGCAGGGTTCAAAGCAACCGTTTCCCGCAGCGTTCACCGAGCCTCTCCCGGACTCTGGACTCCCGCATCATCTGCTGCAATGCGAGCTGATCACATCGTACGCACTGACTCAATCCGTGGCGCGTGACAGGGGCAGGCGCTACGGGCGGAGGAATCGGTGAACCGCGAGCTCTACAAGGCGCCCGAACGATGTGACTGCTATACGGGTCGCTTTGATTGAGTGGTTCGTTGGGTGCTACTGTCGGGATACTGGCTGCTGGAATCGGTGAATGGTGCTTAGGATGGCTCGTGGAGCATTGTGGGGAAGAAAGGGTCGTGTACGCTCGAAAGTATGGAAGATGACGGAGTGAGTGTGTTTTGCTTGAATCATCGGATCATCCGCCGTTCTTGACGGTGGTGCAGCGACGGTGAGCTTTTTCGTCTACGACTCCATGCTCAATGATGCCTTTACCAACTTTCACACGCGAAGTCGCTGCATCCCTGTTACAGAAAATATCTTCATTATAGCATCCCATAGCTCTGTGTCGCTGACTCTAATTGGACACGAATTTGCGTCCCTCGATCTCACTTGTCTTCTTCGGTCGTGATTTGCGATTCGGCGTGCGGCGATCCCTCCCATGCGCTGAGCGGCGTCTTCTCTCCATCATGCTACGGGTCGCTGCTGTAACCACCCCCGAAGCCGGTGAAAAGTCTGATGGATCTCGCACTCGGCCGTGAATCATACAAACATGAGACACCTTGTTGCTTCTCCAATAGGGGTCAGAGAGAAGTGGCAACGCGCAAAACGGCTGAATATCATCACTCATGAACGAAGAAAAAGGGGTCGGTCATTGCTCGGGCCTTTCGTTGAGTAGGAAGTAGCACTGCACAAGATAAACTCAAATGGATATCACGACATTCAACGTCAAGTCATAAACTCGCCTTTCCCCTCGGCTCGAAAGGGAGTAGGACCGTGAGTAGTCCAGCAGCGATAAACAGCGCCCCCGAAACATAGACAGGCGCACTGGTTTCAAGGTTGGCATAGATCGCGATGATCGGAGCCATGATTCCGAACACTCTGTTCGCAGTCGCCGTCGAAGCATTCCCAGTCCCTCGGTCTTTGGTTGCGAAGATTTCCGGGGTGTACGCATAAAGTACGGCATACATGATGTTACTCATGAAGTTGTAGGCACAGTTCCAGCCCAACAAGGCGTTGGAGGTTACAGCAGTGGTGGAGCAGTACAGGAATACGCCTGTCAACGCTGTCGACATGGCCAAGGCACCTTTTCGACCGAATCGAGGAATTTCGACCAGCGCACCGCCGATCAGAGCCCCTGGGATACCAAGGACGGCGATGATGGTGGAGTTGCGGAAGGTGATATACGTGGAACCATCGCCGAATTTTGCTCCACGCGTTGCCTGAATATCTACACAATTTCGGGGTCAGCGTTTCTATTCCTTGACGATATTTGATTTGCAAGACTTGTCTGAGAAGGATTTCAGGCAGGAGACTTGATTTGCGGCTCCCACAACATGCCTTGAGATTCAAGTCAAGCTACTGAAAAGAAGGAACCGCTCCGAAACGGTACTTACAGGGAAGGAAAGCGTTGTAGAGCGGGAACCCAAGACCAATGAAAGCCCAAATAAGTATGATCAATGATGTCGACCATGCTAATTTTGGGCTTGCGAACAGCGCGCGCAGGTGTGTGAAATTGACCTTTTCAAGCTTACGCTTCAAGGCAGCGCTTGCGTCTACTCCTTGTTGGCCTGTCTGATTGAACACCTCCAGATCCGCCAACGTCAGGTTCGTTGTCTTGCCGTTAATCCTTGCCACCTCGTGCACAACACGGACGGCTTCTTCATCCTTCCCGCGGCCCATCAGGTACTTTGGCGATTCGTAAAGCGTAAAGAGAAAGAACCGACAGCAGAACATGATCATGGCGAGAAGCCCCATTGCAATCATAAACCATCTCCATCCGAAATTCTCAGATCTCGTGCACGTTGTCGCCTTCTCTTGACAAGTATGATATCCAAGCAAAGGCCATGCGATAAGATTCGCCAAGAGCTGGGCAAAAGCCCAGAAGACCGAGAGAACTGTGAGAAGATACTGATGGGACCCTGGTAAAAATTCGAGAAAGATGGCAGAGTCAACCGGCAGGTTACCGCCGACGCCGACACTCCATAGAGCCGCAAAGCAGCCGATTGCAGCAAAATTGGGCGACCCGGCTGCGATGAGGCCGAAGACAGAGGTAATGCCGATTGTAAGGTTGAATGCCCATCGGCGGCCGAAGAGGTCGCCTGCAGACGTCAGTCTTGTCTTTGTCACGCTGTGGTACTCCACCACATACATCCGAAGCCCCAAAATATAGCACCCACCAGCAGCCCAATATTCTGTGACAACGAGAGGAGCGGCGGTTCCGAGGGCGAGAACTCGCTTTTTATCGCAGGGAGGATCAGGGATGTGACAATGGGCCAGAGATTATCACTCGCCCAACCGAATCCTGGTCAGCGGATCAGCATCATGTCCGGTCAAAGGCTGGAAGTGAGTTGAGAGTAAAAACGGCTCTTTGTTCCCGAAACCTGTACAAACCTCCGACGACGACGAACAGCTGCCACTGATACCGTCCCATACCAATGTCCTGGATCGCGCTGTTCAATACCTGCGCCTTGCCCTCGTACACCGGGTCGATAGAGCCTTTGAGCAGCGTGGGCACGAGCTCTTCTTCATTTGGAAGACCATTGTTGAAACTCGGCGTCGAATGCACACTCGCCGCGTCTTTGGACTTGGAGTCGGGCTCCACCTTATCCATGTTTCTTTGTGAAGAAGAGACTGATATTCAAAGGGTTGATCCTGACATACATCCGCCAGACAAACATGAGATGGCTTAACTGTGGAAGAGATAAAAGAGACTGCAGCTCGATGAGTTGAGATATTGACATGCATCGGTTTGACAGCCATAACCAATTATGTAAAAGCACGAGATCAAGCCACGGGCTGGTGCGACGATTGCACCATTCAGCGCCTATAGTCGTTATCTTCTCCGACCATGTGTAAAAGTAGTATGTAGCACTACTGCATGATGCGCCGTTTTGGAAGTTGGATATAGTGATGTGATTTTAACTTTGCAGTAATTACACTTTACAGTAATTACACGTGTAATTACTGTAAGACACATGAGCCTGACGGTCACGCTAGTAGGGCGCTAGTAGGTACTTAATATTTGGCCTGAAAGCCTCCTATTGGGAGGTACCATTTCCGAATAATGTAGTTGCTACATTGGGGCCTTGGGGGTACTCTTGCGAGATTTCTGCCATGGCGTATTCAAGAAATGAGGCTATACACATCTGAGGTACGTGTGTGACGTCGAGGCATGCTTGGTAGAAGGCCCAATGGTGAAAGGATGACTGTAAAAAGGTGGATTTGAATAGAGAAGGCAAAATTTCTCCGCAGAGAATTGCCAAGACCATGGATTTGACCAATCAGAAGGCTTACATAAGGATTACTAAGTGTTTTACATGATTTACACGCTGTCACGCAGTTTTTGCCTTACATTACTGTAATTACTGTAAGGCACATGGCCTTACATGTAAAATCACATCCCTAGTTGGATATTCGGAAAAGCTCTGCATAATTGGACAATCGAGGGGAGGAATTTAAGCTGCATGCAATATGTAAGCAGTAACTTGGAGAGGATAAGTGTACTGGGAAAGAAATAGACGAGGCTTTTTCGGGCTCAGGAAGAACAATGATCCGTCCTTATCGATAAGATGAACCGAGGCAAGACGAAATTCATCAACTCTTGGGTCAACAGCCTCTTAGACCATCGGATTCTTCAATCAATACCGGCGATGCTTTATAGCATAGCCACTAAAAAGTCTTTGGTCAACGCTCCAGAGTGAAACTACTCACTGATCTTCTCCTCCCCAACCCCACCGTTTTGAAACACTAAAACACCTCACGATGGCAGAGCCAAAGCCCACCGCCCTCACCCTCGCCAAAGATTTCGTCGAGGCACTGCTCGCAGGCAGTCACGATCATGGCTTCGACTACGAGCTCTGCAAAGCTATGACTGTGGTTTCAGCATCACTGGACCCCAATCCTCGGGCCGTGACTCGCCTGACCGTCACTCTTGCTATGTGCAATCTTTCCGGCACTTTGCATGGAGGTGCGATCAGCACTTTATTCGACGTATGCACCACGGTGGCTTTGGCAACAGCGAGGAGGGAAGGATTCTGGGAGATGGCTGGTGTGACAAGAACACTCAGCACTACATGCCTCCTACCAGTGTTCCCGGGGGAGGAAATCGAGATTGTAGGAGAGGTCGTGCAGATTGGTAAGAAGCTTGGTAAGCGAGAGCGAAAAGCTGAGGCCTCTTTAGATGGATTCTTGCTAATCAATCCTTGGCCACAGCCCACATTATCGCCAAGATGACGCTGGTCAGGAACGGTAAACTGTTAGCGACGGGGGTACACGACAAGGCTAATATTGACCCTCCAGCGGCGATTTTCGGTCGGACTTCGAAATTGTGAGGGAAGAGATATCACGTGTACAAACATGTAACACGGGTTGAGGGCTAGTGTATGCGCGAGTACAAATTGCCCAATGCTCAAATGCAAAACCGTGAACAAAGGGAGAAGGCAGACGTTGCAGTTGCCATCGGGTGTCAGGCCACCCACCGCGGGTATCTGTGCTTTGCGCTACGACGTTTCAGACACTGCTCCCTAGGAGCGCGAGTGAGGTTAGGAAAGAACATTTCATGATGGGCTGGCATGGATCCACCGCTTTCAACGTCATAACTTGCAGCAAATGAAAATATCAATCAGGACTTGGAGATATATGTGCGAGCTTGCTGCTTGGTAATAGACGAGGATAGGTGTCTTTCCGGTGGAGCTGGCTCCAACTCGAAAATGATGAGATGTGGGATGAGAGAGTGCTGTTATATAGACAAAACGCCAACCGTGAAAGGGAAGAGCATCAACGATCCAGCCGCAGCGAAGCCCCAGGTCCGGCCATCAATGCCTACAACTCCCCAAAACCGTGCAATCACGTGCAAAGATATTGGCCATGAATGGATTTTGCGTCACTGCAGCCGAGTCACGCCACACCGATTCAAGTGACACGAGTCTCGTTTTGACTGGTGAAGCAACGGCTCACCAACGGACTGAATAGATGCCGACGCGAGTCGTCTGCCGTGTTGGAGCAGATCAGACTGTGAGACAATATGAGAAAATAATTTCTCTAGATTTGGGTTCAAGATTTGGCTCTCCTCTCTGCGTTTCGAAAGGATGTGACGGGTGGACGACTTCCCGTGAGCCCTCCCTTGACCAATTATGAGCGACCAATTGGGCCCGCCCCCCAGCAACATATCCGCGAAGCAGCGTTGCGCTCGAAACCAGAAGCTCGATGTGAAGCAGTGAAAGGGTCCTCTATAGGCAAGGTGGAGACGTCGTACGGTCGGGTGTCGTTTTGAACCTATACAAATTGTCCGAAGATAATTGAGAAAGGAAATGTGGATGTATGTGGCACGTGTTGCAGGCCCGGAGGAGTGTTTTGCCTCGTGAGCTTCATTGCATGCGCTCAAGAATAGCCAGTCTCTAAGAAACGCCAGGATGCTGTCAGAGAGTACCATGCCGCTTCGATATTCAATTTGGGTGCCGTAAATCCTGGGAGGTTGAGAAGCTGTATGATGAGTTCCTCGTAATACATCTAAGACCCCAATACCATCAAACGCAGGCCACGTAAGACTGCTCGCCGTTTCATCCCTCTTGCTGTGGTCGTTCCCTCTCCTTCTCCTGTAGTTTCCTCCTAGCAGTGAGTATCATCTCTTCCCTCCGTCTCTTCAGTAGGGCCTGCCTCTCGTTCTTGTTGTTACTCCACGATTGCGGCTGTGGGCTTCCACTTGGTCCACTGCCTTCCGAAGGTGATGAAGACTGCGACGATACTCTCGATCCGAGATTATACCGCGTTATGAGATCGATGTGTTCTGACTTCGATTGTGCTAGAGTCGTGTTGGCAGTACTAGGTGTTGCGCCAGCTGGTATGACGGGCTGAAAAGATGGTGGTGGCTAGAAATCAACCGTAGAGTCAGCACGTGCTACACCCTAGAAAGCCCACGCTTTTTCAAACACAGGGTTGCTCGAACACACCGGATCAAGCCTTCCTCTCCCTAGTATTCTCTCTGTGGTTGCATTCACACTCCCTCCATTCCGCTGTAAATCCCATATAATCTCCCTCCGCCCTATCTGGGGGAACATCGTAGCTATCTGTTCAACATCCGCAGGGTTGACGGCTCGTGGGTTCGCGCGCGGCGATGAGGTAGACGGCTTTGTGAAGAAGAAGTAGCGAATTGTGAGAGCGGCGAAGGCGGCGAGGAGGAGTAGGGAGGGAACGGAGAGCGTCTGTTGTTGATCTGGCATTTGGGGGGGTGGGATGAAAAGTCCGGAGTCGGTGGTACGACAGACGCGACGATAGATAGAAGCTTCACTGAGAGTTGCTTGCTTCGATTGAGATCCCGGTGTTATTCTCTAAGCTAGAGTTGGTATAAAGTGTAGTTGGTAACGGGAATGATCTATTGCAGGACTTCATGAGGTAGGTACTTAAGTGAGGATCAAAGTAGTCTCAGTACTCAGACTCTATTCGGAAGGGTTGGTGGTGATAGGTCGGAAAAACCTTTTCTCCGGGCCGAAATTCCGTCATACCCTTCCCTTAGAGTCTGAGTAGGAAACCCTGAAATCGCTACATTGACCGTTATTTTGTATGGGATCCTCACCAAAATTGACCGAAATAGAAAATAAACAGTTTCTTTTATATATAACTTTTTACTAAGAACTCTAATAAAAAAAAAGTATTTATAAAATAACTATTTAAATATCGTAGAATTAGATTTTTTTTTCGATTTTTAATAAAGTATCTTAATTATTTATTTTTAGAAGATTTAAATTAGAGTTTTAAAAACTATATCTTTAATCTCTCTCTTATTCTTTAACGCGTATCATTAAAACCTCAAGGATAATCTTAAAATACTTATTATATTTATAAATTTATTTTAGAATATTATTATAGAGTATGCCCGGCTAGATTTTTTAAAATATTACTTATTAATTTTTTTAAAAAATTTATCTATCTAAGCTATTATCTTAAGTAATTTATTAAATAATATATAATTTTAAATTATTATTAAATAATTTATAAATATAAATAAAGATATATAAAGTTTTATTAATATTATTTATTTAATTTATTTAATTATTTAATTATTTTAAGATTTTTAGAAAAAAAATTAAAAAGCTTAATAACTTTAAAGACTTCGAACTTCAAGTTTAGAAAATTTAATATATTATTATTATATACATTAAGAATATATTTATAAATTTTTATAAAAAGTGATGGTTCGGTTATCGAGTAATAATATATCGAAATTATAGATTATTAAGTTTCTTTAGAATAATTCCGGGGTAGCTTCGGGGTAGCTCGCTCCGGGTCAAAGCTACCCCGAAACCTACCAATGCTAATATATACCCAGGGGTGAATATCTCATATCAGCCAAACCACCAAAAAAATGAGGCTTGGCAGGGTTTCCTCCTCAGACCCACTGCGTGGGGCCTTTCTGAGACTAGGATCAAAGGTTGTACTCTAGAGTGACGCCACTTGCGGGCCTCTCTTTTTGATCCATCCGGACAATATCAATTAGGACATGTCACCTCGCAAGCAGTATGCACAGACAACCACATGCACAGTCGGAGCTGACCGGCTCGAGACCATTTCATGTATCAAGACTTCTGTAACCATGCCTTTGTGTCTACAAATTGTTGGCAACTGCTGCAGCATCTGCGTTGTTGTGTTGTAGCTACGCCGCTTGGTGGCAAATAGGGGTATATAAGTAGCCTTCTCATCACTCCCATAGCTACTCAATCAATCAATCCTTCATCTATTCCAACAGGTTATAATGCCCTCGCACAACTACTGCGCAGGCTCTCTTGGGCCTGGAAGACTTTTTCTGTTCAGCTTTCTTGCCTCAAGTCCGGAAACTTTGCAAAAGTTTTAGATCTCCAGGGGTGAGGTGGATTTGTTTATCATCCTCATTATGGTGATGAGTATCAGTGAGATGATTGTGATCGCTCATAGCGGTGGAAGTAGTGGGTTCTTCTTCGTAGAAAAGAGTAAACTTGATGCAATTGGGTGTAGTTTTTATGAAGGTCAGTCTACTCATTTCAACGCCTGTTTGCACGCTCTAAAATCCGATAAGTCCGACGTAACATCAAAACGCCTATATTATAGTTCTAAGTCGCCTTTAATATATATACATCTCGATTAGATTTAATACGAGTTAATTTTATTTATATAAATAATATTTATAATACTCTTAGATCTTTATAACTACTATTTTATTTATATTATAGATTATATTTTTTAAACTTTATTTTAATCTCTATAATCTTAGAATTTAATTAAATTTACTAAGCTATTTATTACGTAATCTTCTAAAATTAAAACGTTTCTTTTTAATTTTTTTTCTCTATTATTATCTCGAATATAATAATATAGATTTTTTAATTTCGAAAAGATTAACTTTAATATTACGAATTTAATATACGTTAGAGAATTCTTATTATTTAAATAAAAGTTTACACTCTTTTAGCGCTACGATTTACGATAAGATATATTTTCGTAATAAATAATAGTAATATTAATTCGATTTCGAATATAATTTAAATAGTATAAATAGATTATTTAGCTCGTATAATATATTAGTAATACGTTATTAATAATAGCTTTACGAAGACTTTACGAAGATATTATAAGAGCTTTATTTAGATTTAAATAGAGGTATCTAACTATTAAGCGTAGATACTCTCGAGATTAAGCTTTTTTAGCTAGGTTACTAATATACGTTAAACTTATAATTTAAAGAAGAAGTATTTAAATTCTCTTTAAAATATTAGATTTATAAGTAACTTACGAGATTATATTAAAGAGCTTTCTAAATTAATATACGTATAGATTAGCGTATAGATATTAGAAAAGAGACTTATAAGTCTTAAGCGAGAGAACTTTAAATTACTTAGTCTACGTACGCTTAATATACGCTTAATAAAGTTTTAGCGAATAAGCTTAAGTAAGCGATTAAATATTTCTTTCGAGTTTTCTTTATTTTCTTAAGAATTAGTTTTATTATTAGATCGATATATAAATATATCTATTTTTCTAATTCTATATTACTATATAATTCTAATTCTTTAACTTTTTTTTAGAGATAGCGATTTAAAATTAATATAATAATTATAATTAAAGCGTAGTTTTAATATTTATAAAATAAGTTATTATTAATTAATATAATATTAAATTATATTAATATATATAAAAGAATAAGATAGAGCTAAGCTTGAAAATCTTAAATTTATATATATAGTTAATTATAAATTTAGAGTTATTACGTCTTTTAACTAGACTAACTAAGTTAGCTCGCTAGCTCTTTTAAGCTCTCTTATTAGAAATTTATATATAGAAGTTTTATACTCTAAAATAACTA